CCTGTGGCCTCCCGGGGCCGCCTATACGGCCTCCTGCTGCCTGCCGGTGCTTGCTGGGGCCTTCGGAAGCCTCTTGGGGCCCCCTGGTGACTCCTGTGGCCTTCTGGGAGCTCCCCCCCTCCCCCTCCCTCCCCTCCCCCCTCGCCCCTCCATCCCCCCCATCCCTCCCTCCCTCCCTCCCCCCCCCCCTCCCTTCCCTCCCTCCCTCCCTCACCTTCCTCCTCCCTCCCATCCCTCCTCCCTCCACCCCCCCTCAGAGCACCCTTGAGGCCATCCTTGCTGAGGAAAACCTCGAGGTCGCCGAGGGGGGCCAGCGTAGGCGTAGGCGTCAGCAACATGTTTCTTCTGTTGTAAGGCCGCCTGCGGCCAGTGTTTGTGCCTTGTTTATGACCCAGCACTGCCTCAGGGAAAACTCCAAGAGCTGTACCAGGTGTCAGGGCTTTGCGTCTCGTGCTCGCAAAACCGAGCGGATGGGCTCACCTTGTTTTCCCTTAATTCATGTGGACGGTGTTGTTTGGCGACCCCCCTCTGGCGCGCGGGTGCACATATCGGGGGGCTACGCTCACACATCACACATACTCAGATTCCATCCGAGGTTGGGCATCTGGTTTTGTACTGCATGTGGCTGTTTCGCTTCCGAACAGTTGAGACAGCTCGGAGCAGTGTGTAGTGATGTCGTCAATGGTAATCGTAGAGTGTGTCTTGATAGAATCACCCGTGGACTCTGGCCTAAAGTTCGTAGTAAAGCCGAACTGGCCAGAAAGAAGCAGCAGGATTAAGCTGCTTCGGTTGTAACCGACACTGTCGCCATACCCAGAACTCCAGAACTCCCTCCCTCCCCCCCTCCCCCCCCGCCCCCCTTACCTCCCTCCCTCCCTCCCTCCCTCCTGATGTCTCCTGGGGCCTCCTGTAGCCTCCTGAGGCCGCCTGGAGCTTGCTGGAGCCTCCTGTGGCATCCTGAAGAGGATCCGTGTCCACGAGTCTGGCCGGCACCCCCTCGAGTCGCCCTCAAGACCTGGCCCCCCTCGAGTCGCGCCGACATCCTCCAAATCTGCTCCGAAAGCGGAGGATGTTGCGGCAGCAAACAGGCAAAACGCTCGAGACATCCCCACCATTTTTGCGCGGTCGGAGGAATGAGATACCCCTTGGCGGCTCCAATGGGGGTGCTGAAACCCGCTCCTCGCTCGAGACATCCGCAGACTGTGCTCCGCCATCATCACCACCACCACCATCAGCATCATCATCACCACCACCAACACCACCACCACAACATAACATACCATGGCATAGCGTAGCACATCATAACATAACACGACGTGTCATAGCATACCATACCATAATGTACCGTAACCTAACATGCCATAACCTGACAGACAATACCATACCATGCCACGCCATCATAGTACATAACACAGCATAGTATTACACACCTTATTATAACACACCATGAGATAGCAAGATGATGAGGAGGAGGAGGAGGAGGGGCGTGCGTGTGTGAGGGGTTCGGCGCGGTCGGAGTAATCATCACTGCGTGGAGCTCCCCATCTGTAAATCTATTAGCATGGACCTGTCCGCCGTGAGCGTCTAGGCGCAAGAGTTTTCGAACATTCACAGGCTTGACTATTGACGGCCTGGGAGTGAATCTAATTGTGAATGAGTTCGAGTGTGAATGAGTCTCAGAAGTACGAGCGCGTCTCTGCGCATGAGCCTGGGGCCTCCTGAAACCTCCTGGGGCTTCCTGGGGCCTTCTGGAGCCTCTTGGGGCCTCCTGTGGCCTCTGGGGGCTTCCTGTGGCCTCCTGAGGCCTCCTGGGGCCTCGCGTGGCCTCCTGGGGCCTCCAGGAGCCTCCTGGAGCCTCCTGGGGCCTCCTGGGGGGGATTCGTGGCCCAGGAGATGCCCTATCTTTAGGCACAGACGTACATAAAACACTACGAATTGGAGCCGCAGGAGAAGGGCAAGCTATAGGAGCACACGTAACACACCAAGGATTCGTGCCCCAGGGGAGATCCCAATTATAAGAACATACGCAGGAGAAGGACAATCTATAGAACCATACATAAAGTACAAAGGATTCGTGCCCCAGGGAATGCACAATCACATGGGATTAGAGCCGCTCCTGTGGCCTTCTGAGGCCTCCTGCTCCTGTAGACTCTTGGGGCCTCCTGGTGCCTTCTGGGGCCTCCTGGTGCCTCCTGGCTCTTCCTGTGGCATCCTGGAGCCTCCTGTGGCCTCCTGTGGTCTCCTGGGACTTCCTGGAGCCTCCTGGACCCTCTTGGGGCCTCCTGGGGCCTCCTGGAGCCTCCTGGGGCCTCCTGTGGCCTCCTGTGGCATCCTGATACCTCCTGGTACGTCCTGTGGCCTCATGGAGCCTCCTGGAGCCTGCTGGAGCCTCCCGTGGCATCCTGAAGAGGATCCGTGCCCACGAGTCTGGCCAGCAGTACGCAAACCGCTCGAGACATCCTCAAAATATGACCTGGCCCCCCATTGGGGGCGAACATGAGCGCCTCGCTCGAGACATCCTCCACATCGGCTCCGAAAGCGGATGATGCTGAGTCGCGAAACAGGCAAACCGTTCGAGAGATCCCGTCATGTCGGCGCGAACGGAGGAATGATGTATTCTTTGGCAGCTCCCCCCTTGGGGGTGCTGAAACCCGTGCTTCGTTCGAGACATCCTCAGAATTTGTTCCGCCATCATCATCATCATCATCATCATCATCATCATCATCATCATCATCATCATCATCACCATCACCATCACCATCACCATCATCATCATCATCATCATCATCACCATCATCATCATCATCATCATCATCATCAGCATCAGCATCAGCATCAGCATCAGCATCAGCAGCATCAGCATCAGCATCAGCATCAGCATCATCATCATCATCATCATCATCAGCATCAGCATCAGCATCAGCATCAGCATCATCAGCATCGTCATCAGCATCAGCATCAGCATCAGCATCATCATCATCGTCGTCATCATCATAATCAGCATCAGCATCAGCATCAGCATCATCATAAACAGCAGCAGCATCAGCATATTCATCACCATCACCATCATCGTCATCGTCATCCTCATCATCTTCAGCATCATCAACATCAACATCAACAGCATCATCATCATACCATAACATGGCATAGCATAACGTAACACTTCATATCATATCATAGCATAGCATACCATATCATAGCATGCCAACTCACACCATAACATACCATATCATATCATATCATACTATGACAACACAACACATACAATCACATACCACAGTGCGACCCTCCGAGCGCTGCACCTGAGACATCCTCCAATTCTGTTCTGAATCGAACGAGTCTGGTCACCAAAGCAAGCACACCGCTCAAGACATCCTCGCAGTCGAAGCCCCCTGGAGTGCGGAAGCCAGCGCCTCGCCCGAGATATCCTCAGAATCTGCTCCGAACGCAAACGAGTCTGGCCAGCAAAACAAGCCAACCGCTCGAGACATCCTCACTATCTGCGCTCCCTGGGGGCATCATCACCATCATCATCATCATCAGCAGCAGCAGCATCATCACCACTAACATCACCATAACTAACACAACGTGGCAAACCATAATGCCGCATGCCAATCCATCGCATAACAGAACGCTGCATAACAAAGCTTCGCATAACATACCATATCGTGCCACATCATATCATACCCAAACAGAGCCTGCCATAGCATAGCATAACATAACACATCATGTCATATCATAGCATATCGAACCATGCAATAAGATGTCATACCGTATCATCACATAACATGATATTGACGACGGAGGGGTGTGTGTGAGAGAGAGGGGATTGGCGCGGTTGGAGCCATAACACGAAGCCTGTCTCTTTGACATAAGAAGTAAAACAAGGCACATGAAGCCTCCTGGACCCTCTTGGGGCCTCTTGGGGCCTCTTGGGGCCTCCTGGGGCCTCCTGTGGCCTCCTGTGGCATCCGGATGCCTCCTGGTACCTCCTGTGGCCTCCTGGAGCCTGCTGGAGCTTGCTGCAACCTCCCGTGGCATCCTGAAGAGGATCCGTTCCCACGAATCTGGCCGTCAAAATAATCAAATCACTCGAGACATCCTCAAACTCTACCCCCCACCCCCCACCCCTTGGGGGCGAACATGAGCGCCTCGCTCGAGACACCCTCCAAATCTGCTCCGAAAGTAGAGGATGCTGAGTCGCGAAGCAGGCAAACCGCTCGAGGCATTCCCGCCATGTTGGCGCGAACGGAGGAGTGCGATACCACTTGGCGGCTTCCCTTTGGGGGTGCTGAAGCCCGCGCCTCGCACGAGAAATCCTCAGAAATGCTCCGCCTTCATCATCCTCGTCATCAGCATCAGCATCATTATCATTATCAGTATTAGCATAATCATCATCACCAACACCAGGATCACCAGCATCATCATCAGCAGCAGCATCATCATCACCATCATCATCATCATCATCATCATCATCATCATCATCATCATCAGCATCATCATCATCATCATCATCATCATCATCATCATCTTAATCATCACCAGCATCATCATCATCAGCATCATCAGTACCATCATCAGTCCATTAGAACATACCATATTATGCCACAGAAATGTTAATCCCCATATCAAATTGATGGAGTTCTTGTTCCCATCTCCAAGGACGGGGTTATTGTTAATGTTCCGACCGCTCCGAGCTCACATCCTCCTCCCCATGGTATGATATGTTATGGTATGTTATGGCATGGTGGGCTATGTCATGGAATGGCATGCTATGGTATGCCTGCTATGCCATGCTATGCTATGACATGGTATGGTATGACATGTTGTGTTATGTCATGATATGTAATGTTATCACAACACAACATAGCATGGCATAGCATAGCCCTGCTCAGAATATGGCACAGGAAAACTTGACACACCATGACATATCACGGCACAACCAGCACCATCATCATCGTAATAGTCTGAGTAACTTTGAGTGAGGAAGAGGAGGAGAGGCAGGAAGTCTTGGGTGCTCCCTCTCGGCGCGGTCGGAGTGATAACAATAACCCAGTCCTGTAGACCTGGGGAATGATGAGCTCTGCTGCAAGGAGAGACGCAACGTTGTGGAGAGAGTTTATGAAGCTGGGTGGCCAGTGAAGCAGGTGTATTGTGGAGCAGTACGCTCAACCTGTGGAGCAGGAGCTGGGTGGCCTGTGGAACGGCTGGCTGACCTGTGGAGCAGGCGCGGATGGACACATTGGAATTAGGGTTTTGAGTCCATCGCAGTGAGGGACGAATCCTGTGGAGCAGGAAGTGCAGGAAAGCCGTCTGACCTGTGGAGCAGGTGTATTCTCACCATAATTATCCGATGGCGACGACGGTGTCGTCCCGGACGCATGAGGGGGATAGGATTTTGATGTTGACGATGTTTGCGATTGTGACGGTGGTGAGGAAGTTGCATCGTCCCGAGCGGCAGGTCACGAGGTCTTCTTCAGCGGCCAGCGTCTCGCCAATGGCCGCTTCCCTATTTAATTTCAACGTTTTTGATGACGTGTGTTTTTCACCATGGGTTGGCATGCCGTGTGCTGGCCCGTGCGGATGGCCTCAGCTTGCCGTGAGTGCGCAAGGCTCACAGGGCAAGGCTCACAGGAAGTACAGGTTTGGAGGTGTCGCCAATGCTTGAATAGGTCCGTTCGATCGCTCCGTGTTTTCGGGATTGAGCGCCTATACGTCTTCCTTGTGGTCTCCTTCCCACCAACCCTACTCCTGCTCATCTTGCTGCTCCTCCTCCTCCTCCTCCTCCTCCTCCTGTCCCTCCCCGCTCCTCTCGCCTTTCCCGCTCGTTCGGGCCGTTGGCCTCTCCTCCCCTCCTGGTTCTTCCGCTCGTTGCTGCCTGCTGGTGGACCGCGAATTGGCCGATGATCGTGCCACGCTGTCTGATGGCAAGGGCCGCGCACGGGCATTGCCCGAAAGGGCCTGCCGTTCGTGCCCCACGTCGAGAGTGGTGCCGAGCAGTTTGTTTGAAGGGGGTTCCCCATTTCACTCCCTGGTTCGACCCCCGCCCCGAACCCTTGTGGAGCGCCGCCGCCGCCGCCTCATTTCGCTCCTGCTCTATCTGCGCCTCCTCCGTGGCCATGTTGGTTCCTGCAGTTCTTGACGCTTTTTGCGCATCCCCACCAGCTCGTCCAGAAACAAGCTTTGTGCGAGCAGACGCGGTGCGCATTGAACAAAAATGCCTAGAGTGCATCCCAAACATACTAGCATCTACTATTGATGAGAACGCGTGGGAGCAGTCGTGAAACAAAGGGATAACGTCAGTTGAATTGAAGCCGGGGTCAGCCCGAGCAGGAGCCAATTTGGGTCGCACCCAACCCAGCCAAAAGTGGCGCTGACCGATTGTCAGAAACATCATATGAGGGTCCACAGGATGAGCACCACATTGCTTCCGCACTGAGGACTGCGGTGACATAGCCAGGCTGGCGCGAAGGGGTCCTGTCCCACGCTGCGCCGGCTCAAAGGATCAAGCTTGGAGCAGCGGAACGAGGGAGGAGCAGCCGGAGAGAGGGACGAGCTGCGCGAAGCAGCAGGCGCAGGGAGGAGGAAGGGGGTGGGGGAAGGGCAGGAGGAGGAGGAGGAGGAGGAGGAGGAGGAGGAGGAGGAGGGGAGGAGGCTTCTTTTTGCCCTGCGTTTCTCTCCGTAGCTGGGCGTCGACCGATCGCGGGTGGGTCAAGCGCGCCGCAGGTCTGCGAGGCTCGTGGGGGAGGGGGGTGGCCTGCAGCGAGGGCGATCAATGGGGCCAGCAACAAATCGGTGGCCTCGTTGGGCCTCCTCCTCCTCCCCCTCCTCCTCCTCACCGAGCGGGGGGGGGCGGCAAACATATTTTTGCCAGCCCCTCCCCGCCGGCACCATGCGGGAACGGAAACGATGGCGACTTCCAGGTTTCGTTCCTTTTCGGTTGCCTGGGAGTCCGCAGGATGTCAACCAGGGCATCGGGAGTTCAGGGGGGTGCATGGGCTTCGGGAGATCACGGGGTTACAGGGGCTTTGGGACTTCAAGCCCACCGCGCGTGTCGTTTGAGAACAAAATACTTCAATCATGAGAAAACAACTCGGTATGGCAGCAGTCCCAAAGAATTTGCTTTGTTGGCAATGGCAAAAGAAGTAAGCACCGCGGCTGATTCATGCGTGATGCAATCCCGCTGAGTTGTTTACATGCTTTCAGCGGTCCACGATCAGACGAGTGAGTGGCATTTCGCATATTTCACCTGCGCACGTCCCAGTGTTTCCCTCCATCACGGCCCGCGCCTGGGGATTGGGATCTGAAGACCAACGCGTGCCTGGCAACTTTTGCTTGGTGAGCGTTCACAGATTGCCAGATACGCGGTGTCATCGCACTACCCCCAGGTATAACTGATTCGGGTGCGCCCCAAGACCCAACAGCAGCCAGCTTAGGAACCTTCTTGGGAGCGTCTTCAGGGCGTCGAGAAACGATCTTGTAGCTCGCCTGGGACCCTTCGCTGAAGGGCGCGAGCCACGCACCTGCACCGATCCTGGCTGGGACAGCCTTGGGGCCCAGGATTGGTGCACACGTTTTCCTGTCCGAGCCAGGAGGGTGCGGAGGTGGGTCTGACCAGGATTCTCGTAGGCCTACAGCTGGAACATTCCGACGCTGGGGGGAGGAGGAGGAGGAGGAGGAGGAGGAGGACGAGGAGAAGGAGGAGGAGGAGGAGGAGGAGGAGAGGAGGGAGAGGAAGGCGACGGGAAAGACGAGCCAAGAGGGCTTTGAGTCTATCCATAAACGATTGCTTGCGAAGGCGAGGAGAAGCAGGGCAGGAGTGGCAGGAGGGGAGGGGGATGGAAATGGGGAGGGGCGAACTAGGGCAAGGAGGAAGAGGAGACAGGAGGTTGGAGGAAGAGGAGGAGGAGGAGGAACACGACGACGATGACAAGGCTGAGAATGACGAAGGCGAGGCGCAGGAAGAGAAGGAGGGATACAGGAGGGGATGAGACAAGGAAGCCTGGGACGACGACGAGGAGGGCGAAGATGAGAGCAAGAAAAACGAGAAGGATAAGGAGGAAGAGGAATGGAGGATGACGGGGGGTGACAATGAGGAGGACACGGAGGATGTGGATTCTGATTTCGGTGGGGGCGTCCTGCAGCTCAAAGAGAGACGAGTGCATCCTAGGAACACGGGAACACGGGAAGAGGAAGGACGACACGACGAGACCAGACAAACACAGGACAGCGATGCCGATAACACAACAGGAGGAGAGTGAGCCGTAAGTGCGGCAGGCTCGTTTCGCACTGACGCGGCGGCGACCCCACCGCGGGCATTCAGGGTTGAGCGCCGCCAGTTGCCCAGAACGGGCCGATCCCCGAACGATCCGCGCCATCGGGAAGCTGCGATCGTTCAAGGCTGAACGACCCGCGCAGCGTCCGAAAAAAGCCCCACGCCAACGCCGTCGCGACGCGACCGTGCCGTGGGCCAGAGGCCGCCGCGGCGGCAGAAAGCCCCGCCGCTCCGCCGGCGGGGCGGGCGGCATCACCAGCAGCCCCCCGCCGCAGCGGGAGGCAGGCCATGGCCACCGACGACAGGCCGCGCCGAGGAGGCCCGACTGTTGCCGCGGGGGCGAGGGCCCCAGAGGAGCGGTGGGCCTAGACGTTGTGGGAGCGGCCCAGAGGCCCCCCGGTGGGGCGGCCCACTCTGGGTCCGAGCGTGGCTGGAGCCCCCGGGGGGTCCTCCTAGGCCTCCCAGATGGGGTCGGAGGGTCGCGCCGCGTCGCCGACGCACTGCCGATGCGGCTCGATGTGGAACCCGATTTGCTTCACGTCGACGTCGCCGATGCATCGCCGACGTCGGCGATGCGGTGCGATCCTCCGACCCCGTCTGCGCCGACCCCATCCCGGAGGCATCTAGTCTTCAGGGGGGGGGCGGGGGTCCGCGAGCCTCTGGCGGTCGATCGGTCGGGGGAGGCAACCCCAGCGGGGCCCGGGCACAGGCCGTGAACACGCATGTTGGTTACAAATGATTGAAAAAGCGAGGAATTGTTAAAGCGAGAAACGGAATTATCAATAATTTGTGACGAGGCAAACATCATTTAGTAAACGCAAAAGCCGGTTTACTAAATTCAAAAACGGATGTTCTAAATCTTCTCGCAAGTGGCCCGGATCCGCAAGGGGGGTCCGCGATCCAGTACATCGAGGCAGACGTTTGGATTTTCGGACGTTTGCGAGTAGGCACTCTGCGGGCAGTGGAACGCGCTCGGTGAGGGCAGGCACCTCTTTGAAGTCTTCGTGCAGGTCATCGCCTCTCCCTCTGCCCCCTTGCCAGCGTCCGCGCCGTTGCTCCTCGCAATGGTTGGTGGGCATCTGGCCAGCAGTGACGAGTCCATCACCTTCAGACAGCACGTGTGGTCGCCGATCGGGTCGTTGCAGAGGCGCGGCTACTTGGGGACGATCGGACGTGTTTCTTCTCGATGCTCACCGTGTCGCTGTGGACTGAATTGCGCTGGCGATGCCAGGGTCTTCTCGAAGGTCATGCTGGTCATGCTGGTCCAGGTCATGCTGGTTTTCTCGAGGGTGTTTCGGCTTGCGGTCGAATGGTTTGATGAGTCGCCTCACTGGCGACCGTTGTGGGAAGCGGGCCCTCCCAGGCCCAGTAGGGCGACACATTACATGTACGCCGGCCCAGACTACGTGCCTAGCATGCACTCAAGCAAGACAGCCTACTGCGCCCCTTACAGCGATTCTGTGGACTGCCAGAACATCCTAAGCCAGCCCCTGGTGTGGCCAGCCTACGGTCCCGCCTGTCCGAGCGCAGGGGCTGCGCTCCACTGGGGCGCAGCGGCATCGCCGCCCGGCCGGCGCGCCTGGCGCGGCGCCGTGGCGGCGGGCAGTCGCTCTCGCGTCGGGCCGTGCTGCCCCGCTCGCCCCGACGACAAGGGTCGCCAGCCGGGCACAAGCCTTAAGGCCCGCCGCCCCTCACCCGCCCACCCCCGCCCAGCCTCCCACGACGCGCGGGCGCCTGGCGGGGCCCGGCGGCGCGCACGCCGTGGCCGTGCACCCTCTCAGCCGCCTGCTTCCGCGGCTTCCCACACTGCTGCTCCCGCCGAGGCGCCACCGCCCCGCCCCTGCGTGGCGCGGGGGCGCGGTGTGCAGTATGTGCGTGTGTGCGTGTGCATTATTATTCCTCTCCCTCCTCCTCCTGCTCCTCCTCCTCCTCCTCCTCCTCCTCCTCCTCCTCCTCCTCCTCCTCCCCTCCCCTCCCCCTGCTCCTCCTCCTCCTCCTCCTCCTTCCTCCTCCCCTACGCCGCCTCCTCCTCCTCGTCCTCCTCCTCCTCGGCCCGGAGGCCGCGTGCCAGGGAAACCGCGCGTCCGGGCGAGGCGTCCTGCACGGGTGGTCCGCAGAGCGGCTCGCCGGTGCGATGCCGAGGAGCCTGGCGGCAGAGAGTTTGCCCGTGGTTTCCCCCCTCGTCTCCTGCCTCGTAACCCGTACCCGTCGTCCCCTTCCTCGTTTCCTTCGACCCCACAGAAAAAAGACGGCATAGACATACACTGCTGGCGCTCCGCGCGGATCTTTTGGGTCCGCGCTGGACCCGCCCGGGCGGCGCCTCCGGCGCCGCCCCTGGCGAGATGCGCGAACTCCGCGCGGAGCGCCAACAGCTTATGTCCATGCCGTTGTTTGTTCCTCTGCTCTTCCTCCTCTCTCTCTCTTCGCCTTCCGCGCGAAAAAGTGCCGCAGAGGCTCCCCATGCCGAGCTCGAGCGCCCGAGCGCCGGAGCTTTTTTTGTTCAACCGGCAGCGTCGGCGGCCTCAGGCGGAACCGAGGTCGTGGCCTGAGGTCTCTCTCCCCCCCATTCCCCCGTCGGTTGTTGAATCCATGTACAGATACTCAGGAGGGAAAACAACACAGACACAATGAATCGTCGATTCCGAGGAAATTATTTGAAAATATGGGAAGTGGGGGGGAAGACAAAAACCCAGAAAATATTGGAAAATGTAAGGAATACTTGTATTATTTGTGTGTATCTATTTGTGTGTCCTGGGGCCCCTTCATATGTATATACATACTGAGAGAGAGATCTGTTCTATACTCTTGGATCTCAATCGACTTTGAGGTTTCCGCCTGCTTCTTCCGACTGACGGGTACCCTTCCCCTCCCACATCCACATTCTCGTGCAGTTCGTGCTGGGCCAACGGGTCCAGAGGCCCGCTTCCTCTTTCTTGTCTGTGCGTGTCCGGGGGCACAAGAGCTGCCGTCGCAGACAGAGTTACACGCTGGCAGGGCATTCATCGGTACAAGTTTTGTCGGGCTTCGCCCCCTGCCGCCGGCCCCCTCTCTCGGACAATGGGGTATGCAAGAGCTATGTTGTGAGGCTTGGGCGCCGTCGTGAAGTGGCGTCGGAACTCCGAAGGGGGCCACTGGAGATATGAGCCTGCCAAAATCCATCAAGATCCGAAGGAAAGTTGCAGATGAGCGCTCTTGGGGACCTCTTGGGAGCCTCTCGGGCCGCCTTGGGACCATCTCGGGCGCCCTGGAACACTCTTGGGCTGTCTCGCAGGTCTCTTGTACCGTCTCGGGGGCTTTTTAAAGAGGACTGTGGCATCGAAAGCGCGAATCTTGCATACTTTACGAGGGTCTATGACTTCAGAGACGCGAATAACGCGTAATTCACGAGAGATCGTGGCTTCGGGGACGCAATCATGGTATTTGATTTATGTACGAAAGAGCATTACCTCGGAGACGTGAACATTGCATAATCTACTGAGAGGTATGGTCTCGGGAGCGCGAAGACAGCGTAACTTTCGAGGGCTTATGGCCTCGGGGACGCGACGATTGTGTACTTTACAAGGTGGTAAAGCGTCGGGGGCGCCAACACGGTGTCATTTATGAAGCATTATGGCCTCGGGGGCGCGATTATCATTTTATATATATATATATATATATATATATCATACATACATATATGCATACATACATACATACATCATATACATACATATATATATATGTATATGTCCCAGGGCCCCCCAGAAATTTTGAGACGCCCGCCAGGAGGTGGCAACCAGGGCCCTTTTCGGCTCCCCCCCTCGCGCGGACTTTAACAATGCACAGTAGAAAGCAGAAAGCAGGACTATGACACTGGAAACTGGCACTGGCGCAGGGAGTAGCGAGCCTAATCCGCGGAGCCTGGTGGCCCCACAGGGGGACTGGCTGATGACTTGTGTCGTCAAGTTGACAGCAGATGGCCAGGGCGCCTTTCACACGAGAAGGAAAAAAGAACGAGGAGGTCAGAGGAGGAGGAGGCGGAGGAGGAGGAGGAGCAGGAGGAGGAGGAGGAACGTCTCAGGCGATGTCCAGGGCCGCGAGAGGGCAACGCCGTCGCGACCGGGTCCGCCTCGAGCCCTTGACAGAGCACGCTTTGGACGAAGCTCCTGGCGTCGAGGTCCATGCGGATGAGGAAATCGTCCTTGCGGTCGTCATCTCCCTCTGTCAGTTCCCTCCTCCTTGCCTGGGGGATGGTGCTTCCTATTTCTGGGTTCCCCCCTGCGGCACGCCGTTGTCGGCGCCACTGGGAACTCGGCCAGGTCGAACTCGGCCGGTCGAACTCGGCCGGTCGAACTCGGCCGAGTCGAACTCGGCCAGGTCGAACTCGGCCAGGGCTGGACTCGGTCAGGTCGGTCCGACTCGGCCAGGTCCATTATTTCGGCCGGTCGAATTCGGCCAGGTCATACTCGGCCGGCGTTCTGGCTGCAGCGCTGCAACCAGGGACGACGTGTTAGCCAATCTCGTCCGGGTCGAACTCGGCCAGGTCGAATTCAGCCGGGTCCAATTCGGCCAGGTCGGACCCGACGTGGCGAATGCGGCCAGGTTCAACTCGGCCAGGTCGAATTCGGCAAGGGCGATCTCGGCCCGTTCGTTCTTCGAGTCGCCGCGAGGATATCGCGGCGAGGCGATCGAAGATGGGGACCGGGGGCATCGATGTTTGCGGATACACATGTACACGTTCCATGTGATGAAGCCCCAAAACGCAGCAAAGGTGGCCCAGCAGGCGCCCAAGACGGTCTTTGAGGGCTCCAAAACGCCGAGCTATCGGTTCAAGACCAAGAGAGCCCCAAGGCGCAAACATCATAGAGGTTCTTTAAGTTATTGCAAGATTTGGTCGTTCTCGCATTGTCGGTTTCCCAGCGCTCCACGACAGCCCAAGAGGCGCCCAAGATCGCCCCTAGAAGGCCCAAGAGGCTTCCACGAGGGCCCCAAGACGACCCAAGAGGTCCCCAAGACCGCCCAAGAGGTGGCCAAGACAGCCCAAGAGGCCCCCAAGACGGCTCCAAGAGGCACGGGCATTTCGAGCTCTCGACCTGAGAAGCTTCCAGGAGACTCCCCCAGAGGCTTCCAAGAAGCCTCCCAAGACGCCCCAAGATGCCCCCAAGAGATCCCCAGGAAGCCCCAAGAGGCCGCCACGAGGCTCCCAAGACGCCCCCCAAAGCCTCCCAAGAGGCCCTTAAGCCACCCCAAGATGCCCCCCAGAGCGCTCGTCGTCGTCGTCGCCGGCGGCGGCGTCGGCGGCGTCGTCGTCGTCGTCGTCGGCATCATCGTCGTCGGCGACG